CTGGAATGCTGCTAAGTTGAAGCAGTACTACAGTTAAAAACTGACAACACCTAGGACCCTCGACCAGAAGCAACCATGCTCGGGCAACGAGGAAAAACGTCCCACTTCGTTTAAGGCTAAGGTACAGGCCGACACACGACAAAAATGGCACGGCATCGCGCGGTAGACGTTGACGATCTATAGTGCCCGACGTGGACGGCTATACCGAGCACCACCGTCGTCGTACCCATGAGGCAGAACACCCAGCTCGCGATGGGCAGTTCACGCCAAGGGCAAATCGTCCCTACGGGCTCCACGCCCGACTGAGCAACCTCGCTCCGAAATACCCGACATTCCATCAAGAATAACGGGACATCTACAAGGGTCAAAACAAATTCTCTCCTCTCGAGCGAAACACTCAAGCAACCCCTGCCAACCGAAATTAGGTCGAGGTTGCGCATAAACAGAGTCGAGCATAGTCGCTCGCCAAATTAAAGCCACCTACGGGCACTCGTCGGGCCCGGGACGAGCTAAATTCATACAAGCATGTCAGTTCATACAAGGGCAGAAAACAAGATAAACAAGGTATAGACGCCCGTAGGCAACAAAGTAATATTAAACCGACCAAGAAGGCCGGCGATGTTCATACACGAAATAAACGGGCACGCAGGCCCAAAGGGTGCAAATTCAAATATCAGGCACGCAGGCCCACCAACCAAAAAATACAAATCAAACTTCCGCATTATCACCACTGTCGACGCAGGGAGAGTCGGGCGGGGGAATGATCGCGCCACCGACAACCCGATGAGTGTGCCCGATACCCTCGGTGACCAAGCCGGGATTTAGCAACGAGAGCTGGTCGACGGCAGAATTGAACCCGTCTTCCAGGGCACCGACTGCGTCCTCCTCGAGGTTCCGAATATGAGCAATAAACTCAGCCCGACTCTTCAAAGCCATTAAGTCCTCGGGCTCATCTTCGGCGGGTTGTTGAGCAGCATTCAGTTCCTCGACCTGCTTGCCCATGCGTTCGACTTCAGCAGCCAAACGATCCCTATCGGCCCGGAGCAACTCCCCTTCCTCGGTCAACCGCCCCGACTTCTCTTTCTCCAAGGTCAGCGCCTCCCTCTCGGCGTCAAGTATCACGGTCTGCTCTTGGAACATCCCCTCGGAGCGTTCCAGAGCGACCTTCAACTTCCTTGAGCTCGCCGTCAAGGCTGCCTTCTCCCGCTCGAGCTCTTCAACACGAGCAGCGTCCCCTGCGTCTTCAGACAATACCAGAGCCATTTCAGCCATTTTAACCAGCCCGTCCACGCTGGCGACCAGCCGCGACCGCCTCTCCTCTTTGGTCATCCTTTTTATGGCCTCAGCTTCATGCGCGACCACGGTCGGGGGAAACCGCTCGAAAAAACCCTCCTCCTCGATGCAGGGGGGAAAGGCAAAGGATTGAACGGGACCGGTATCTTCCCCGACAGTTGGACCGCCTTCCACGCGGGTCCTCTTCCTTTGTGTCAGAACGGCTTCGGCATCAATGACTTCGACATCTGGATCTGACGCCGCCCCCGAGCTCGAGGTCGAATCCACCCTCACTGGCTGAGAAGCGTTCAGATTTGTCGGTGGACCCATTCTCGTCATCTGAGGGCCCGGCACGACCTTCTTGTTTCGCCTATGGCCGGTCGACAGTTTCAGGAGCCTTTCATGTCGGCTGGCCATCGTACCTGCACGAAGTAAAAGAAAAGTCAGTATCGAGCAAAACGCGTAAATAAATGACGAGTCAAGAATTTCAAACAAACAACCTAACAGGCGGGCTGCCTCCCTATAGGTCGAGCATTCCACCAACGCCTTGGTATCAATCGGGCGAGCCTCGAATATCGGGTAACCGTCCTTGTCGAGGATGTCATTCCCCTCCCGTGTAACCCACTGGGCGGGATGAAAACCGTCGACAAAGTTACAGAGAGCCGCATACGCCCGTTGATCCTCCGTGCACATGTTCCCGACTGCAGTGTGGAAATAGCCTGTTCCGTGCTCGAAGTGTCGGGGCATCCAATACACCGGGAACTTAGCCCGACGTCCTAGCACGGGGCTCCCGTCATCGTTCAACAATGCTTCCCCGTCGTCATCGCTGACCGGCCCTTCCTCCTCGTAGAGGGAATCCACAGCAGAATCAGTGATAGGGTGTACCACATACCACTTATCCTTGAACCCCCTCACAGAATCCATGTACATCCTAAACAGTCTCCTCGACTGCTTCAAGGACACCCAGCTGTGCTTCCCTCCCCGGGACTGGCGCTGTAGGTGGAAGACCCTAAAGAAGAGGGGTATGGTCGCCCCTATCCTTAAGTAGCGGCACGTCAGCTCAAACGCCCGGATGAAGGCGAGAGAGTTAGGGTGCAGCTGGGACGGGGCCAGCTCCAAATGCGTGAAAACCCCGGTCTCAAAGTCTGTGAAGGGCAGCCGCAAACCCAAGTCCTTAAAGGCGATCTCGTACATCGCAAAACTGTAATCCGGGTACATCGAGCAGATTCTGGCAGTGGTCGCAGGCAGCATGACCTCGAAATTCGGTTGAAAGTCGGGCTGGTCCTGCCCCCCTTCAATGGCGATGAACGGGTGTCGGTCATCCCGACCGTATATCGACGCCGTCCCCCGAGGCTCGGCGCCCACCCATTCCAGCGACGGGTCGGTCACAGTGTCGATAAGGTTGGCCGACTCGTCGGCACTTTGTTCTTCGCTGTCATGACGACCTGAGGAGCTCGGCTCATCCGCCATGGTTACCTGCAGAGCACGGGAAACCAATCAGATTGAGCATGAAGCCCTATGCTCGACATAATCATGTCGTCCATACACTACCGCAAGTCCATTTTCACAAGTGGATGCCTCCCCGACTCTCCTGAATCCAGTGTTCCTCCACAAACCAACTGCACGGCCACTCTTCAAGCATGTCGGTCCGGGGTATGAACATGGCGAGCCGCATTATGAAGCCCACGGCCACGACCATAAACATACCGGGCACCGGCATGAATCAGGCGCCCAGGATCATGAATACCCCGGGCAGCCCTGAAGTTTTTCACCTAAAACTATGAACGCGTCGGCCACAAGTATGCGTTTGCCGGTCCTAGACGTAAATCTGTCGGGCAAAACACGAGTTTACCGGGCTAATCCCACATTAACGGTCCTAGAATCATGCATTCTAAAACAAGAAAATAAAGAGAGTGGATCACTTACTTGGATCAAAGATGGGATTCGGCTAGGAAAAGAAGAATCTGGGACGGGAAGTCACGGTTGGAGAGAGTGTTGAGAGTTGCGACGAAGAGAGCACGAAGAACGGAAAGCGTATTATGGGGCCCAAGGACCCTATTTATAGTGATGACATGGAATACCAAACGTCACCTCGTTTAGCCACGGACTCCGTCTCCTCGACGCACTGCACCCAACGCAATGATGGCCCTACCCCCCTAGGGTGGCGGCACAATTCCCAAAAGATGCCTCGCGTGCCCGACCAACGTGCTCGGTACGGATCCTCCACGCATCCACCACCGAGGACGTTCCCGAGCACGACACGAGGAGGCTCCTCGAGGGGCCGCGCCTCCATTCTGGGCACGAGACCTCAGCGACTGAACAAGGTTTCAAGTCATGGCTCCTCGCAAAGGAACCACGACTTGGGGGGCTCCTGTTCTGGACTGGGCCCGACAGGCCCAAAAGCATTACTAAGGCCCAGTCCAATGGGACTCGCTAAGGACCACAACGTCTATGCCCGACACCCTGATGTCCACCTCGACATCCCAGTGTGCCAGCCCACGCGACGAAGTCACGCTCGACAGACTGCCGTCCAGCTCTATGCCCTGGTTTCCAGCTCGACATTCACTGTCCAGCTCGGGGTCTTGGCACCGAGCTCGACATCACGCTGCACTGCTCGACATGGACTCAAGCTACCTCGCTAGGGCAGACTCAGTCACCATTGCCCCAACGATACTCCGTAAAGACCGCGTCTCTGTCCGCCCGCACTTCACGCACCACATCCAGGGAGGGGACCACGTGCTGATCCCCACTACCCACGTAGGACCTGGCAGTTCCTCCATTGGGCCAAATCCGCCCGGCCCAGTGAAGGAACCTTGGCCCAGCGCTGGGGGCTATAAATACCCTCTGCTTCCAGAGGGTCAGGTAATCATCAATTCTAACCTCAACTCTATTATCTGCTAGTACTCCCACTGACTTAAGCATCGGAGTGCCTTGCAGGTACCCCCCCCCCCCTCCTCGTTCAAAAAGCCTTCAGCTCGGAGCAGCCGTGACGGTCCAAACCTTCTGATCAGGTCAGATCAATTAGGTACCACTTGGATGAAAGGAAGCATTTGATTAGATAATACCATTTTATTTAGTCAATTACCAAAAGGAATATTTTGTAGTGTAAAATTGAAATTGCTTAAAGGGGAGATTAGGAAGTGCTTAAACATCTTCCAATCTTGGTTGGATAATATAAAAGTGCAAATGAGACATTTTTTATTTATTTAACCAATCAGTTTCAATTCACATAATGAACCGACTAATCTAATTTCCTAATTCAAATAAACGACCCACTGGTCAAATCTTGTTTTCAACAATAATCAAACTCGAATAATAACCGAACGATTTGTCTTTAGCGAAAGCTCCTTTTCCACTAGAGTCCAAATATTTGATTTCACTTTTATGAGATAGATAAATATAAAAAAGAAAGAATAATAAATGATAAAAGATATATTGAAAAAAATTATATTAATATTGTATTGAAATTGTACAACGTCTTATAATTTAAAACATATTTTTTCTCTAAAATATCTTATAATTTAAGATTGAGTGTACATACGAACAATGGAAATCAATACCAACAAATTATAGCATATAAAACCAAACAAAAAAACCATAAAAATGAATGGACCATCGATCAATACCAACAAATTATAACATTTAAAACCAAACAAAAAAAAACCATAAAAATGAATGGACCATTGAATATACTTTATTAATACTATAACAATACAACCATTAATGCACTAATCACAAACTTCAAAAGGATTAAAACAAGTAACAGGGTAACAAACTAGCGGTTTTGCTAATCCCACAGAAAACGATGAACCTTCTTCCAAATCAACTTTACCTCCACCTTTAACTTCCCACTCAAAACATTGAACCAATGCAGCAATTGTTACTTCTATAACCCTCAAAGCAAGTGAAGACCCAGGACAACCCCTCCTCCCAAACCCAAATGGAATAAACCTAAAATCATCCCCACCGTCCATCTTACTCACATGTTCATCTCCACCGTTGATCTCATCGGCACTATCTAAGAATCTTTCAGGTATATACTCTTCAGGATTGACCCATGATTGTGGGTCTCTCATAATGGCATAAACATTAATCAATGTCCTTGTTTGTGCCTTTACATCGTAGCCGTTGATTTTGCAATCCTCTGCTGATTGTCTAAGAGCGAACGGTGCAGATGGATGAAGTCTTAATACTTCTTTTACACAAGCTTGTAGGTAAGGCATTTTTGAAACATCTGACTCTCTGACTAATTTGGTAGGTCCCACTACAGATTTAATCTCAGCCCTTAATTTCCTTAGGATATTTGGGTTGTTTATCATCTCTGCCATGGCCCATTGCATTGTCACTGAAGATGTGTCTGTTCCAGCCAAGAAAATGTCCTAGCATTTGTACATATAAATAATAATCATAATAAAAATAAAATCTTTTCCCAAAAATAATAATATTTTAAACTAAAATTGTTTTTCCTCCCATTTGAACATTTTTTTTATATTTTAAATTTACAATTCTCTTCTTGTAATAATAGTGTTTTTCTTAAAAAATTTCATGCACTAACTACGTATATTTAACATATATTTAGAGAAAATAAAGACCGTATTTATTTCTGATATGGATTGGGTCTGCACTTATTCAGTAGTTGGGAGGTCCAATCCAACATTCTTGTATAAGATCCAAAGACAAGCAACCCAAGCTAGGGACCGTTGGACAACTTCCCACGCATTTGTTGGGGAACGTGGCCCACATGTCCGCATCACTGTCATCTTAACTCCCTCCGGAAATCATGGGTCTAACATCTATTCTCACGAAGCAGTTGACCAGGGGGGAGTTCACTTGCTGGACTCCATACACACGTAAGTCCTGACAGTCTTCATTATTGGGTTTCATCGTGGCCCAACAATGAGGACCGTGGCCCAGCGCTGGGGGCTATAAATACTCTCTCATTTGAGAGGGTCAAATATTCATTGTCATACTCATACGCACACTTGCTTGCACTCTCCCTGAATTTACTTTGACATCAGAGTGTCTTGCAGGTATTCCTCATTTCGCTTTTCAACCTCAGCTCGACATAAGGCCTTGCCGATCACTCTAGTCAGGTACGATCAACTCCGTTTAGGTCTGTCTAGTAAAATTTCATTAAAAAAAAGAGACGGAATGCATATAATTAAAGATCTGAAGTTAAAACTTTGCCCTGTTAAAAAAAAGAGCGGGACGAGACAAATATATTAGAAAACTTCATCCCGTTCTATTAAAACATAAGAGTAAGATGAAATATATATATATTAGAAAGTACATATTTGAAATTTTGTTATGTCCCAAGATAAAGTGCGTATAAAATAGACATGTTTGACGGTTCATATTCATTTTGTTACCTTCTTTACATATGTTAGATGATGGTGCAAAGATAAAATAGAACTTAATAAAATGATGAGATATTATAAATTTTTTATAATATTTTTTTATAAAAGTTAAATTGCAAAAAAAAAAAAAAGTCATATATCATAAATAGAGCTGTCTTTGAAGCTATCACATGATTTTAAAATTTGTTACAAGCTTTGTGAAATCTGTCATTTTTAAAACTTTGTTAAATAGAAACATCTTTATCTTTAATATTTGTATCCTATTTCCAAAAAAGAGTGACGAGATGATAAAATAATGAAAAAGAAAAACAACTTACTAAGAAGAAGGCTTTGATATCATTCCTTGTTAACCTCACTTCAGCATTTGGATTCCTATACACTTCTAATAAAACATCCATCATGTCTCCTTGACAATCCTCAATGTTTCTCTCTTCATGTTCCTTCAAGAAAATTTCCAAAATATGATCAAATTCACCAACTATTTTTCTAAGCTTTTTCCCATACCCAAACAAATCCAACTTTCCCAAAGGCCCAAACACTTCACCCATACTCAATTTTGCTCCTACATGCATAAACTCCCTGACTAAACATCTAATAATATCTTTGTCAAATAAAGTTGTTCCCATTGCCATACGACACAAAATATTATTACTAAAAATAGTGAAATCCAAACACAAATCCGTTGACCTATTTTCATTAGAACAAACCACAAAAGATTTCATGAGAATCTCTAATTCTTGCTCTCTAATATGCAAAAAACGACCAAGTTGTGAGCTAGAGAGTAATTTAGTAACACACAACTTTTTCATGAATCTCCAATAAGGACCATATGGAGCAGTGATGAAATATGATCCTTTGTATAAAAAATCATGAGAGGATCCAAATTGGGGTCGGTAACAAAAGTTAAGGTCATGTGTTTTCATGACTTGTTTTGCAACTTGTGCATTGGAGACAATTATAGAAGTCGAGGCACCTAGTTTGAGATGAATTAAAGGGCCATAGCGTTGAGAAAGTTTTTGGAATGATTTTGGTATGATTGAGCCTATAAGGTGAAGGTGGCCTATGATGGGTAATGATGGTGGACTTGGTGGGGGGTTAAATTTGGAGATTTCATTTGTGGTTCTTATATTTTTGACAAGTAAAGTGAAGATTAGCAAAGCTAAAAAGAAAAAGATGTAGAAGAAAGCCATAGATTAAGTTCTTTCACTTGGAGTTCAAAGCTTACAAGATGCAAAACATCAATTATATGATGTGTTATGAGCTCTTAAGTTAATTAATAAATATCTTGTAAAACAATTTAAATTATAACTAACACTAATAACTTATTTTTAAAATTATAAATTAATATGTCCTTACATTATCATACTATAGTTGTGTTATAAAATAGATGTATAATTGTGCTAAAGATTTACAATATGACAAAACTATAAATAATATAAATTTCTTGATGTGGATTTGATGATATCATTTATTGTCAAGAGTATGTTTGTTATGTAGTACATTGGAGTATACTACTTATATAAAATGATACTAAGATAAATGTCATCAATTAAAAATGGGAAATTATCACACACTAAAGGATGAAAAACATCAATATTCTTAGAGCTCCCCGTCCTATAAATTATGAGATTAAAAAGTGGAGATCACTATTATTTTTAATTGGTAAGGGGTGGAACTAAAAATGACAGATTCAAACGGGGTGAGACCTACTAGGACGAAATGAGTGCATCTGAAAGGCAAAGTAGAGCTGGATTTGTAATGTTCAAATTTTAACGCTTAAGTCAATAAATAGTGAAAAAAGTGATAATGCGGGTAAGATTAAGAGCATACTTGCGAACAACACGCAATTAAGTTTATACATGGGTGATAGTCAAAACTGTTACACATCATTCGACGTGAGATGTAGGAAATTATCTGATTAAATCTGGTGTCTTTTAGGTTGGACTCTCACGTAATCGAGCTTCTCATCTTTTGAGCCTTCAGCCAACTTGAAACAGTGGCAACCCAAGGCGTCACTATTATTTAGTAATGCAAGGGTTGAAATTTTCAAGTCATCTTCATTTTTCGTCTTGTCTTAACGATGTTAGTAATTGTAGATGTTTATGAATATTTGTTTTTTTCCCGCGTGTATCATTTTATTTCATAACTTATCTTCATGAATGATTTTATCTCATCATTATATATCTTGAATGATTATACTTCATCATTATACGTTGCTAATGATTTTGTTTCATCCTTTATCTCCTTGAGCGACTTTGTTTCATCATTCTACATTTTAAATGATTTTATTTCATCATTAGGTGATGCTAACGATTTTGATTTACCATTTATCATATTGAACAATTTTTTTCACCGTTCTACCTCTTAAATGATTTTATTTTATTATTATGCATTGCCAATGATTTTTTCATCATTTATCTCCTTGAACGACTTTGTTTCATCATTATATGTCTTGAACGATTTTATTTCATCATTATGCATTGTCAACGATTTTGTTTCATCATTGCTTTGGCGGGGTCAACCCAATCTCGGGCTTGTGTTGGTTGGGTTAGAAGCCAAGCTTTGCTTTGACATCTCTATAGACTGCGACCAACCAAGGAATGGTTTCCCTTTCTGGCCTCCTAGTGAAAATATATTTCGAGACCAATGTATTCGGAGCTTCATTGTCTATATCCTAGAGTGGCTAGCTATTGAGAAGAGGGTGTGCCATGTGTCACTTCACTTCCCTCGTTTTTCATGTTTGTTGTATGTCATGTTCTATACTAGAAAAAACAATCAAATAATTCACTGAAAAGTTGGTGGGGAACTTGAAGCGTAAAGATACCTCAATTCGAACCATCATGATATTCCAAGATGATGTTGAACAAGTGACCTCAAGCACAAGAGATAGGGTGAATTATGATTTTTGAAAAGTGTGGATATTTTTTCCTTTCTCAATTAAGATCGTATTAGTAATGTTTTTGAGTAATAAAACGTAGCGAAAGTAAAGTAAATAAAATATATTGAAAATAATTAAAGAGAGTAGGGATAGAAAGATTGCACACAAGAGTTATCCAGGTTTGGCCAAAAGTCGGCTTAATCCTGGACCTCATGAAACTTCTTATAGATTTATGGCTGATCTCCTTAACCAAGAACAAAGCTCTTTACTGCCTAGGCTTAATAAACCAATAACAGAGATTTTTCAGTTAATCTGAAGAACCAATAACTTAATAAACAATCGACACCACCACTTACAAAATGATACTCTCCACACAAATGAAATTTCACTCAAAACACTCAGGCAACCAATAGTTAAGAAAAGGAAAATCTCTAGAGAGAGAAGGAGAGAGTTTAGAGAGATAAATTCCAAGCAAATACGAAGGCATTGGAAAGTGGTGTGATTTCAAGAGAGGAAGTCACCCTTTATATAGCAAACAAGATCACTCAAAATGGAAATAATCCATGGGCCTAATTAATGATTTAATCGGTTTGCATAATCGATTATTTTTAATGAATATGACAATTATGCTGTTGAAAATGGAATATTATGTTTTAGATCTGTTTTCACTTGATTAGGTGTTTAAGAAAAGTATTGAGACACAAGTTTGATCTATTTTAATCGATTAAACTAATGTGTTAATCGATTAATTTAGACAAATTTTTACCTTTGACCATTTCTAGGATTCCCAAGCTATTTAGCATATTTTCCAAGAGAGGTTTAGTGTGTGTGAGAGTTGTCTTAGAATTTCTAAGCTATTGTTTCACTTTTAAAATACTTGGTTCGCTCAGACAAACGGCCACGTCTTAGTGGGCTTTCATATCTTTCCCCAAAGAGATTTCAATACTTCTTGCTAGATAGTATCTAATTGTATATGCACTTTTATATTGAGTCCTCTTTTGCAAGCTTATATAGACCTTCGAGCGTAAGCTTATATAGATTTTCAAGTGTTATCATCATCAAAACTGCAGATGTTGGTCTTTATTAAAGTCTATTCTCTACAAAATAAGGTTCCACATTCTCCCCATTTTTGATGATGACAATACATCTCTCAGGGGAGGTTGTAAGAGAAATAAAGTAGTATATATTTGGAGTGATAACACTCCCCCTAAGTTAGATAAAATGTATACCCTCCCCTGAGAATATACTTCTCTCTCTTTTTCATAATCAAAAAGGCAGTAATATATTCAAATTTGCAAGCTGTAATACGACGGGAGAACTGACTTGGGTATTTTGTGTTTTATCATAAATATTGTGGATAGCAAGAGTCGCCACCGACTTTTCTTTTATCCAATAAAGGAAAGGGTGAAAAGAACAAGAAAGACCTTTTGAGAATTTTCTTGAGTTCGGGGGGTAGGTTATGAGAAAGGAAGGTGTTAGCACCTTTTTCATCTGTACTTACCTACGAGCTCTTAATTGCTAGCTCACTTTGAAATGCTTCGTGTTTGTGTAAGTTTGAAAATATTTTGAAAACGCCTTCATTCGACAAAATTTGTAATGATTCTTGTATCGTTGAGAATGTATATAAAGTGTTGGTTTTGAAAATATTTATTGAAAGGGAGTGTTTGGAAAGATGTTTTGAAGATTCCAATGTAAGGAAATTTTGTAATGATCCTCGTATCGTTGAGAATGTATACAAAATATTTGTTTTTGAAGAGTGTTTTGAAAGTGTGAAGTGTGGAAATGGTTTTGCTTGTGAGCAAGAAATTACGAGCAATCTACCTACTCAAAAAGTCTTTGTTCTTTTGCTCCTCCTTTAGATAATGCTTGTCTACTATTAGTTGGTAGAGAGCCATATCATTAGATGTGAGGGACAAACGTGGGTCATTGTACAGTCATAGAAGGAAACTTGTAAGACGCTTTAGCAATTGTTGTAAGGGACTAAGATCGTTCATCAAAGGTAATGTTTGAAGGGTCATCGAGGGACTACGATCTTTTAATCGAGGGTCTTTTGCTAAAACATCCCACGTTCTAGAGACATGAGTGTTTATATCCGAGGCAACAAGTGTGGGTTACCCTAGAGGTTCATGTGTGCAAAGTGTTTTGTTTTTATGTATTTTATATTGAATTAGGGTTGTGTTAGGTTTGATTTTAAGTCTTGTCATTAAAATCCTAATTACTAACAATAATAAAGAAAGCAATAAATTGCGGAATTTAAATATCCTACGCTATTACAACACTTTGGGAATGGGGGATACAATTTTGTGAATGAAGTGAGGAAAGCAATAAAGCCCTAATTATATATTACAAACCATTTACATGAATAATAATAAAATGCACAAAATATAAAGATGAAGAAGAAGAAAGAAATTGTTTTTGTGGTTTTTTGGTGGTTAATCCTAATTAAATGACCTTTAAAAGAATTTAATAACCTAATTAAATTAAGATAAAAATTAATTCCACTAACCAAAAGGAAAAATAATTTGAATAAAGAAAAACCTAAATCTAAATTAATTTACGAGAGAAATTAACTATTATAAAAATATTTTTGAGGCTTTATTGGTTTGAAAAAGGAAAGAATAAATGTAGTAAAAATAAAATTAAGATAGTTTTAATCTAATTATTCAAAAAAAAATATTTTTTGTATTTTTGGGTTAAATAAAATAAATAAATAAAATATAGAAAAAATATAAAGAATATAAAAAATATTGGACTGGGATGTTGAAAAGTAAAAATGGGGTTTAAAAGTAGCAAACAGACCCAAATCACATTTTTTGAATTAGAAAATAAAAATAAAACAATGGAAAATAGGCCTAAGTATAAGTAAAATAGGGGGTGTTGGGAAGAAATTCAAACAGGCCCAAAATCAATGATCCAACGCCTATGTGAGATCCAGTGTGGGTGTTTTCTTGGAGTGCACCATGGTCTTGCTCATGTGTAGCGCTGGATTTGTTTGATTTAAATTGTTGAACATCCAATGGTCTTGATGTGAGGCTCATGATAGGCGTGCAGAGCTTGCTTGCATTGAATCTGTAATAACAAAATAAGTGAAAAACAAAAGGGTACCACTGGGGCTCGAACCCAGATCCTTATACACAAATGCTTTAGCGCGCGCTTCTCTGCCACTGGGGTGGCTGTTTCATCCGTTTATAATACAACTTCAACTAAATATAAAATAAACTTGTTTCTTAACATGACTTCATCCCTAACCTCGCGCTAGTCACCATTATCACATTTTTGAATTTTCAAACCTGCTCACTTCTCAACCATTTT